CGACGCTCGTACAAATGTAGCGATTTATTTTCATTAAGACATAATTAGGAGTGAGTCGCATCGCGATCCGATTCCTCGCTCGAGCCCTCCTCCGTTCTGTTGTATCGCTGTTCCGTGTTATATGGTACACGTATGGAGCACATCACGACACATCGCATTGGTGCTATTTCAGCTTAGTATTTCAAAGATGTACAATCCTGTATCGCGCGTATAATATAGCATTTTCTTTAGGAATTATCACAACTCGTATCTTCTTTGTCATGGTATTTATTGTTATAGCGGTGTGTTCATCTCTTTCCTAATAGAAATTAATTCGAAATGTAAACCTAATATTCTCATCTCATATGAAGCAGTTAAATCATAATTAATTATATACATTTTTCTTTATGACAAAGAGAGTTTCATGCAAGGGCGCAACTGATTGTATGTATCCCATGTAATAGCGATTCTTCAACGATCGGAATTGGAAAGGGTTAGAATGAATAATCCGGCGAAAGGATGAGATGCGAAGGAGAAGCGAGAGGGTACAGTATGTTGTGTATCGGCTACAGGGCCACTTCCGTGTATCCCGGAAACTCGTGCAGAGACTCAGCTCTCAGTTGCAGAACGACAGCGGGAAGAGAAGCAGGAGGAGGATGGAAACAGAAAGCCCACAGGGGCTAAATTTGCATCCGGCAAAGCAACCTCGGACTACTTTATTTGATTGGCTGCCCGCAGGGCTGCCTTCTGTCCCTACATGGACGAACCTACACGGATCGCTTCGTGTTTCTCTTTTCCTCTCTCCGTCGGCGTCTTATTTTTTCGTTTCTTCCGTCCCATCTTCTCTTTTGTCATTTTGTTTCTTCGGGACTGTCTTTCTCCCCTTTCTCTCTTCTTCTCATCTTCTCACCCTCTCATCCTTGTGGCCACCTCCCTCGCCACTAGATAGGTTTTCCGGAATCATATCGGCGATGGCCGTGAGAGACACTTCCACGAACTATATAAGAGCAACTTAGGGCGTTTTTTTTGCATTCTGAATCGGAAGACCGTGAAGAAAACGGACGATATTAATCTTTCTGATTTCTTGTAAGGTAAAGTGTCGATGAATTCACGAAATTCACGAAATAAAAAACATTGCATTGTGTTTGTGCTGTCATATCTTTAATCGCAATTTCCCTCTGCTCTGATTTTATACTTTTAATGTATAATTTAATATTTCATTAAAAGGCAAATATTCGTAATATGAAAATATATGAAGGATATTCTTAATTAATTGACGAACATTTACAAACATATTTCACTCGGAAGTCGTCGAATATTTTTTAGAATAATAAATTAAGTTTTAATAGGAAATAAATAACAAAAATTTCTTCTCGATAAAATTTTATATGGGGGATTTTCCTGCATAATGTAAATTCGGTGCTAAATTATCAAAATATTTGATAATGAGCTAATTATATGTAATATTACAAACATAAAGATATATCTATTTCATTTTATTGCTTGATAGGATGTAAAACGCAAAGGCGGCTTGAGATGATGATAACGACAACGGCATCGATCGGTTTTCGTCCTGTCCACCGACGATGCTCAACGTCGAAATAATCATCCGCTTTAATAAAAACGGCTTATCCGCGAAACAATGGACTGTCGTTCGCAGGACAGCCAAGCACGTGGTGTCGCGGCGCGCGTCGTGGCTTGTCTTTCGTGGGAGTACTACGTCCGCTCGCTCGTTCATTCGGCTTTTCCTAAGAGTTAAGCTGTTTTAGCTTTACTTCGCTACGCACTAAAACAAGGTATCTTAATACCAAGCCACTTCAAGTTCCACGGCGTACCTGAAATTAAATCTCCTACTTGACGCAATTAAAACTTGATTCTGGAAACGCATTACTGTGGTCCAAGCTAATGAAAAAACTTATGGCGCGCGCCGGCGATATATAAAAATACGAGGCCACGAGCGATTTATTGACTTTGTAGGATATTGCAAGTTTCATTAAATTAGATCAAATCTGTTTTTACTCTATTTAATATGAATAATAAAGACGTTTAGTGATATAAATATTTTTTAATTTAAAAGTAGATTTTCAAAAAAGTGACGACAGTTACTGCAATTTTGTATTTTCCATTTAATTTTTTCATATATATATATATATTTATATATAATGTTCGATCAACCGACATAACTAAAATAAATAAATTCGTAGATGATTATCACGCGATCGATTGCAGCGTTTTCTCTTTTTCTCAATAATATTTTTTGATGCTCGATTACATTTGCTCGATTAGACTATGGCTTAAGAGATAATGGAATAAACATGCAGTCGAATTTTGACCAAGACGAATATTTTGAAATTACTGAATACTCGTGTAATGATGTAAAAAAAAAACTGAAAGAACTTCCCAAAACACTATAATAAAATATTTTTTTCATTAAGTATTTTTCGAGTTATAAGGCTCGAAAGTTACAGTACAGCCGGTATTAGCATTGCGCAAGTTGTCCGACCGACGGCTAAAACCTCTTGAATGTTGTTCAGGATCATGTCCTAGATAACATTTGTCAAAATCAAGGCCATTGTAGGTTGTACCTCTTATTTTCATTTTTGTACTAAAAATTCATTTTTATGTAAATATATAGATTACGTAAATATATAGATAGATTAAAATGGGTATATATCACAGTTATTTAGGATTCATATTAAATCTTAAAAGATAAAATAAAATGCGAAAGATAAATTTTTGATGTGAGAACGATCGTATTAAAAAAATGCGATTTTTTAGAATTTAGAATATAAACCGAATATTAAAGTTATGGTATAACTATAGACATTAAATTCATTATAGAAACAAATTGTTAAATCTTATCGTTAATCGATCTTATTGTTAATCTTATTATTAATTGATCTTTTTTAGAATATTATGTTTTAAAGCATCATATTGTTTGCTTTTCACGTTTCGGCGCGACACGTAAGCGTATGTACGAGATATTCACGATTATATTACCTTTGAATGCATTGAATGTAGAGTAGAAAAGGAGAAAGGAAGAAACAGACAAAGGAAGGGGGGGGGGAGAGAGAGAGAGAGAGAGAAAAAGCAGGAGATGATATTCACATAAATTCATGCAGAATTATTTTTTAAAAATACGCAATAATAATATATTTGATTGGATAAAATGCAGGTGAAATTTTTTCAATCTCATAATAAGAATGGCAAAGAAATAACAGAATTCTATAATAAGACGCTTGATATAACTTGATATATCTTTCTAATTATACATTTAAATTTGTCATGATATTTTAAGTAGCTTAAGTTGGGATAAATGACATTTAGCCACGTTCAATTCTTTATGCTTATGAGTTTGTATCTTCATTTCATTTGGAAGCGTAAAAAGTATTTTTATTCTGTGTCTCTTTTTCACTGGATGGCGCTCGAAATGTTGGCTGCACAGTTTCGAGAGGCATTAGATACGCGTTTTCCAGACTTTAAGCCGAGCATCGCCGGAGGAGATCTCATTAATTAGCTAATGGCTTTGCGAGTCTTCTCAGGTACATATATGCTGCGTATGATACAACGAGTATCAGTATTTTTCTATATGTCACTAAATGATCGCGAATTCGCTCGTTAATAATACGACGTGATTATTTCTTATAAATGTGACAAATAAACTAGCGATTGTTTAAAACGCCAAACGCTTGTGACAAGATGAGTTCTGATCTCTACTCGTAATTAACTTGGCGGTATCAAATCAATTG